CCTATGATGCTGCTTGGCCTGCTGTGTTCATCCAGCCCTGCACCTTGATGGCTCTGGAGCAGTACTGCTGAATGAACCGGTTGGATCCAAAAGGACTGAGTCTGCAGCGGTGGTGAGGAAACCAACAAGAGGGGAAAACACTTGATCTAACCCTCAGTAATCTGCCAGCTACAGATGCATCAGTCCATGACAGTAGTGGAAAGAATGTACACTGTACAATTCTGTGGAGACAAAATCCTGCCTTCACTTTGAAAATACCCTCCAGCATGTTGTTCAGCACTATTACTGTGCTAAATGGGGCAGACTTTGAACTGATCTAGCAACTCAAGACTTTGGCACCCATAAGGTGCTGTGGGCCATCAAATGCAGCAGAATTATATTCCAACACAATCTGCCTGGTATATTCCCTACTCAACCATAACCACCAAGCCAGGGAATCAACCCCCTCCAGTAGTCCCCAGCATTACAGATACCAGTCTTCAGCCATTTCAATTCACTCCACGTGATATCAAGAAACAGTTGGGGGCACTGGATACTGCAAGGACTATGGGCCCTGATAACATTCTGGCAATAGTACTGAAGGCTTGTGTTCCAAAACCTGCCGCTCCCCTAGCCAAGCTATTCCGGTTCAGTTACAACATTGGCATCTAACCGACAATGTAGGAAATTGCCCAGGTATGTCCTGAACATAAAAAGCACTACAAATCCAACCTGGACAATTACCACCCCATTAGTCTACGCCTGGTCATCAGTAAAGTGATGGAAGGTGTCATCAACAGTGCTATCAAGCAGCACCTGCTCAGCTATAACCTGCTCAGTGATGCCCTGTTTGCGTTTCACCAGGGCCACCTAGCTCCTGATCACATTATGGCTTTAGGTCAAACATGGACAGCATGAATTCCAGAGGCGAAGTGAGAGTGGCAGAGCTTGACATCAAGAACACATTCGACTAAGTGTGGCATCAAGAAGCCCAAGCAAAACTGGAATCAATGGGTATCTGGGGCAAACTCTCTGCTGGTCAAAGTCATACCTGGCACATAGTAAGATGGTTTGTCTTTGTTAGACACCAGTAATCTCAGCTCTAGGAACTCCTCAGGATAATGTCCTAGGCCCAACCATCTTCAGCTGCTTCATCAATGACCTTCCCTCCATCATAAGGTCAGAAGTGGGGATGTTCGCCAATGATTGCACAACGTTAAGCAACATTTGCGACTCCTCAGATATTGAAGCAGTCTATGTTTAAATTACACAAGATCTAGACAATATCCAGGCTTCAGCTGACAAGTGGCAGATAACATTTGCACCACACAAATGCCAGGCAATGACTATCTCCAACAAGAGACAATCTAATCCCAGCCACTTGGCAATCCATGGTGTTACTATTACTGGGGTCTCCTTCTATCAACATCCTGGTGGTTACTATTGATCAGAAACTCAACTGGGCCCACTATATAAACATAATGGTTTCAAGAACAGGCTAAGAGGCTAGGAATACAGTGGTGAGTAACTCATCCCCTGACTTCCCAAAGCCTGTTCACCATCTACAAGGCATAAGTCAGGAGTATGACAGAATATGCTCCACCTGCCTGGATGGGTGCAGCTCCAAAAACACTCAAAAAGATTGATACCATCCAGCACATAGTAGCACACTTGATTGGCACCACATCCACAAAGATCTACTTGTCAATCACCAATGATCCGTAGCAGCAGTGTGTACTATCTACAAGATCCACTGCAGAAATTTAACATAGATCCTTAGACAACACCTTCCAAACCGAGGACCACTTCTGTCTGGAAGGACAAAGGCAGCAGATACATGGGAACACCACCACCTGCAAGTTCCCCTCCAAATCACTCACCACCTTGACTTGCAAATATATCACTGTTCCTGTCGCTATCAAAATCTGAAAGCTATTGTTGGTTAACATCTAGCATGTGGACTGCTTAATAAGACGAATCACCACCACCTTTTAAAAAGCAGCTAGGGATGGGCAATAAATGCTGGACAGTCAGTAACGCCTATGTCCTATGATTGAACTAAAAACAATTATTAAAATGGTTATTACATCTTACATATGCAAATGATTCAAAACATATTAAAATCACAGAGACACCCTTTCAATTTAAGTGAAAAATTTATTCCTCTTCTAGTTTTCATCCCATCTGGAACTAAGAAAATGAGCAA